AGAATTTTATTTATTATTGTCATCTCTGGAGGGGGGAGTGTTTGTATACAAAGCAGATCCTGAGCTCCGTCTCTTCCTTGGATACATGGGGAGTTGGCTTCCTTAAGAGTCGGAGCTGCAGAATGCAATCAATGTGCTTGCTAGCAGCATGCCTTCCCTCTTATGGAAGCAGGCGGACCCTGCCCTGATTCTGCCAGGTACAAGATTTTCTTCTCTTTCTCTTTGAATACCCCTGTTTTTTCCTGCACTCTTTCAGGGACCCATACACTGGCACACATGGGGGAGGGGGAGGAGGTCCACTCCACGGCTGTATAAGGCACACCAGAAGCGTGGAAAGAAGATTTACAACTCACAGCTCTTATGAGTCCCAAGATAAGCTCCTCTGAACCTCCTCAGCTTGTCATTTATGTTCTCTTTTGTCCAATACAACTGTTTCTGCTTTGCTCCTCAATGAAAATCCACACAGCTTTTTCTGCCAGTTACAGGATGGATAAGAGTTTTCCTCATGACTAAAGAATTACTTCTGAAGTCTTAAAAAACAGAATGGACAACAACCCAAGGAGACATTGAGAAAGATTAAAGTTATGTCTCCAGCAACTAAATATAGACAGGTCTGTATTCAGCTGCGTGCTGAAAATAGCAGGTCTGAAAGGTCTTCCAACTTCCAGTCACTAGTCCACTGCCTGGGGATTCCTGGCTGGAGATGACAATTCTTTCAAGGGAAGGAGGGAGGGAGAAACTGCAAGCACACCGTCTCTCTCTCGTGACTGGCAGTGCAGAACTTACAAACACAAGAAAAAAGAAGGCCTTGGATACCCAACTCATGAAAGGCCCAGGCGTCCCTAACTCCCTGCCCAGGGAAAAGAGCCAGGGGTTCAGTCGAAAGGATGACAGCACTGAGGCCACTCAAACCTTCCAGGCAGCAGGCAGCAGCACAGAGAAGGCCTGCTGCCACTCATCCAATGAAGTTCAGGAAGTGAGCACATTGAGGCTTGTCTATAAATACTAGGTATTCTTGATCCTTGTAGCAGAAGAAGAGTGCCTTGACAGAATCCCTTCTGTGGGCTCCTACTGGTATCAGTCAAGGTCTCTCATCATCTTTCTCCACCAGCACCGTAGGTGGCCCTTTCCTTGTTTCATTTCCTGGACCTCCTCACAAAATCGGGGAGCCCCAAGGACTGGCAAGCGGGGAGACCCCAATCCAAGACTCTTGAGACCCACCTATTCCAGGAGGTAACTAAGGCCTCAGTCAAACTACCCACCGGATCCCCTGGAAAACTGCCAAGTTTCTTCTTGAATCCTATAAAAGGCCCAAATTAGGCTTAGCAAATGCTTTGTCAACCACAATGTGCAACTCCACGACTTTGAGGCAAGGAGGGGTGGAGGTCGGGTCACAGCTAGAAGCCAGCATTCAGTTCAGGCATGTGTCTTTCCTGACAAATATCTGTTACTGCCATTTGAAAAATGGAATACAGCTGGTTGTACCACCACCCTGAAAATGCTGTCACTGTCATCCAACTCAATTTCAGTAAAGCCAACAGTTGGAGAGAAAGTATTTTGTCCGAGGCCTTTATATTTAACATTAAATGGCACTTAATGTGCCTATTCACACCTAATCAATAAGTGACAGACCCATATAAAGTTCTGGTCAGGCATGTGAAGAAGTAGATGTCTAGACATGCGCAAAGCTTGAAAATATTTGGAAGAGACACTTCAGGTCTCGTATGAGTCTTGTATGAGTACAGCCTATATAAGCAGCCCATTGTTTTTCCAGATCTTTCAGGGAGCTGCTGCTGTGGTCATTTGAGGATGAAGCACTTCTTTAAAGTCTTCTTCAATGTCTGTAGTCCTGATACAAACACACATGTAAAACAGTGGGGAACCCCAAAGTTCTGTTTTAGGCCCAGTACTTTTCAATATCTTCATAAACGATTGAGAATGAGAGGATAGAGGGGGAACTCATCAAATTTGCAGATGACGCTAAACTGGCAGGAACACCCCAGAAGACAGGCTGAAGATCCATCTGGATCTTGACAGACTTGAACATTGAGCCCTATCTAACAAAATGAAATTCAATGTAGATAAAAGTAAAGTTTTATTCTTAGGCCAGAGGAACCAAATGTACAGGTACAGATTAGGTGAAACCTGGCTCAATAGCAGTGACTGTGAGAGGGATCTTGGAGTCCTGGTGGACAATCACACCCAACAAGCCAATGTAATCCTAGGTTGCATTATCAGAAGGATAGAATCAAGATCACATGAATTATTAGTACCACTTTGCAATGTCTTACTAAGACCACACTTCAAATGCTGCATCCAGTTTTGATCTCCACAATATGAAAAAGATGTTGGGACTCTAGAAAGTGAAGAGAAGAGCAACAAAGATGATTAGGTGGGTGGCTAAAAAGAATGTTTGCAGGAATTGGGTATGTCTAATCTAGTAAAAAGAGGGACTTTGAGAGGCTGCCACAAAGAAGAGGGAGGTCCTTATTTTCCAAAGCAGCAGAACGCAAGACAAGAGACAATGAATGAAAACTCACCAAGGAGAGAAGCAACCCAGAACTAAGGAGAAATTTCCTGACACTGAGAGCAGTCCACCAGTGGAACGGAAGTTGCCTTCAGAAGTTGTGGGTGCTCCATCACTGGAACCTTTTAAGAAGAGACTGGACAGCCACTTGTCTGAAATGGTATCTGGTCTCCTGCTTGAGCAGGGGGTTGGACTAGAAGACCTCCATGGTCCCTTCCAACTCTGATGAAGTTCTAAGCTCTTCCTTCCATCTGCCAATCAACCAGTCTTCCCTCACTGCTCACTCTTAATTCTCTTCTGAAATCCATGTGACATTTCCAAACCAATTCTGTATACCTGTTCTTGTGCCCTTTTTGGCAGAGGGGGAGAATGGCATCCAAAGTGCTGAAAGAACTTAACAGGAGTTTTGCAAAGCAAGGGCACAGAGACTGAACAGTGCAAGTATTTGTTAATTACGTAGGAGATGAAGAGAAAGGAATTTAGAAATGGTTTACAGATCCAGTTTGGCTTCCCTTTCAAAGACATCATAAGAAGGAAGCGTTTTCAAAATCAAACTATTTACTCCCCCATTCCCACGGGTGGGCTGCTACAGGGGTTCAGGAGAACTTCTAGCTAAGATTCTGTGTAGTTCGGAGAACCCCCAAATCTCACTCCTGGCTGGCCCCGTCCTACCCATCCCTCCCCTCCCCAGAGTCCCCAAGCGGCCCATTTTGGATGCAGGTAAGTACAGGGTGCATGTGGGGGCTCGGGGAGGGTAAAAAACGGGCGTATCGGAAGTTCGGGAAGGGCTCCAGAGAGCAAAAACACACACCCCCGCCGTGGTGCAGGAGGCCGACTAGCCTCGCCCACTGTTGTCACAACCACCCAGCAACCGGGGCAGAGAACCCCTTGCTAAAATTTTTGAAGCCCACCCCTGCTCATTCCCCCTATTTCCAAAATATGGAAGATGTTTATTCTGCTTTATTCTGCTAATACAGAATAAAAGGCTTTTAGGAGAACTGGTAAAAGACCTCTGGTTAAACAAAAGGAGGCAGAGGAGCAGAAAAGGAAAGGAAGGAAGGCCCACTGGGAGAGGTCTTGTTTGCAGCAGGTGATCTAGAGAAGAGGTAACTCTCATGTTCCGTTCAGGACTGGACTTGGACCGTCTCTGGGGTTTTCTTGATAAGGCTGGGATAATTGTGTCATTACTTTTAATCTCCAACCTAGATGAAGAAAAAAGCACTGCCAGCCGGACTTTCCTCTGTCTTTAGCCACTTGAGGTGGTGCACGTTTTATTCGGGGACTGTGCTAGTCTCTGCAAAGGCCATTCCCCCAATCTCCCAGAAGGGTCCTTCTCTGGCCTCAGCCACCCCCCCACTCCGCTTAAGTGGGGAGAAGCCAGCTAAGTAAATAAATCAATACATTTCCCTGATAGAGCCAAGGAGGTTAAACATCCTCCCAGATGTTTAACATGAGAGACCACGGACACGTTATGCTCCCAGTCCGTGATGTGTCCAAAAATACAGCACCTCAAAGAGCTTTTAGCAAATCCATCTGAATGGATCCAGCAGTTCTCGGGTGAGTGTCTGAGGCACAATTACAAATGTTGTGCCAGAATTGGCACACAGAAACCTCCCTAATGATTGAAAGGGAAATATATCAAAGGGAACACAGCTGACTTCCAATCACAAGCGCATTGGCTGGTTGGCTAAGAAGTGCTTCTTTGCTAAATGATATCATAAAAACCAGTAGATGACTGATTATTGCCAGAAGCTGGAGCTTTAGTGGATGTTCAGGTTAAGAGAAAAATTATGACTGGTGCCGGTTAGATACCCTCTGAAAATTGCAGCTGTTACTTTGATTTACGGCAGTACTTTTATCACCAAATATATCCGCATAGAACTGCTGGGCCCTTTCTCTTCCTTGAAACTTTAAAGCTCAAGATGCTTTCTCTCCACTCAGCTTAATGAGGAATAAAAACTACGGCAATCACAGAATTAAGAAGAGCTGCCAACAGGGTAAAATCACCTTTGGGGCAAGCACAGTGAATTTATGATTTACTAGCTAAACTGTCATCCTGTTTTCCGGGGGTGGGGGGATATAATGAAAGCACAGTTCCAGTCCTTTCCCCAACCCAATTCATCTAATTCTCCTCTTTTACCAGCAGCACGATAACAAAAGGCTGGGAAAAGCAAGAGAGAAGTGGAAGTCCGACTGAGGAAAGGCTGCTCCTTTCCCAAGAGCCTTCTGCCCTGGCAGAAAAAAAAAAGTCCTGAGAACGCTCTGTTGGGGCCGACTGTAATCCAAGATACGCTGGTCTCAATCAGGCAGAGGACTGTTATCCATGGTGGCCCATCTCCGATGGTGGGCCCTTCACACAAGCAAGCCACATTCTGCAACGTTTTAGTAAACCATGGTGTCTGAAGTGACCTTTACAGTAATACAGACACCCACATCCGTTCTCCAACGGATGAATACATGAAGAATTCATTACCTTCAGCTGCCCTTTTGAAAAAGACTTTGCAGCTTCCACAGGTCAGTGCTCCGTAGTGGCATCCTGAAGCTTCGTCCCCACATATCAGGCATGTCTTCTGTGGTGGGAAATAATAGTCGATAGGCAGAACATGGTCCCTTCCAGATTCCAGCCTTTGGAGGCAAAAGAGAAAATCAGAAAAAGAAACATTAGCAAGTGGTTTAGAAGAAGCCAGCCTTTACCAGGAGTCCCTATGCTTGAAAGTGACAAGGAATCCCGGCTGCCTATCAACCTTCTCTAAGGGCCTCCCAAGAATACAGGGCAGCTTCTCCATCTCAGTGATTCTGGAGGCCTCGTAATGGCCCAGGGCTTCTTGTAATTATCCTGCACACTTTCTTGTGATTATTTAGAAAAAGGATTTAGAGAATTTCTCCCATTTCCTGCAAACATCTTTTGAGTGGCAGCAGCTCTAAGCTCCCTATGACAGAAGAGCAAAACTTGTTCCTTCTTCCTTCGGGACATAAAGCTCCAACTTGCCTCCTTCACTGTTCCCTCCCTCTTTAGATGTGGAGCTTCTGCCTATCGGGAGAAGGGCCAGTATTGCCACAGGTCACAAGTACAATTTTACCATTTTTTTTTAGTACAGCCAAATGTTAGTTCTTTGATGTAATAAATACAAATTTTCAACAGAATAGTGGCTATCAAGAAAGAAGGGTGTCCACCTTTCTGTTCTTTTTCTTCTTTCATAATTATTCACTATTCTTCCTATGTTCTTTTCTAGTATTTATATAGTTTTTAATGTTATTAAAATGTCTTCAATAAAAATTATATTAAAGAAATGATAACCCAGGAGAGAGGGTGAAATACAAATGCCTTTGTAACCACTGTCAAAAAGATTGAAGTGTCTCTTCAGTTCTGCTCTAGGCAGATGTACTGTGGATTTAATGGGGAGGTTGTGTAGAAATGGGCAAAGGATTGGCTCCTTTCCCTTGTTTGGGCATCTTCCCTATTCATGTGATTGAGGTAGGAGGGAGGTTAGCTTTGAAGCTGCTTAGTGCTGCAATCACAAGCAGGTCCAACCTCTGTGATTTGCTCTGCATGGGGTTGCACCTGAAGCAGCTGCCTATTCAGGGATAGTCAGAGCCATTATGGTCAGGTGACATTGTCCTTACAGGAGAGGCACTGATTACCAGCTTGTTTCCAAATGGCATTCAAGACACCCAGAAGGGCTTGGGACAGGGGTCTTCGAGACCCCTCATTCGAGATAGAATCTGTTCATTCTACCGTTCTATCAAAAAGGGCCCTCCATCAGTTTCACAGCTGAATGGGGATGTGAACCTTAGATCAACACAGCAATTGTTGTTTCAGTGTCCAAATGTATACACATATGAACACACCAGCCTGGTAAAAAAAGTGTCACCAAGTCTCCAAAGATTTTTCTTAGTCTTTAAAGTGCCCACAAGACATTTACTCAAGCAGAAATGTAAGTGCAAGTAGAGAACAACATTAATGATCACATTCAGAATATTTACATTAACACTTATTCCTACAATATTACCTAAAAAGGGATAACTGTCCCTTTTCAAGGATAACTTTGACATTCATATAATATCTGTTCTTCTACATTGTCAGAAAACAGTTGCCAAACATACATTGAGTCAAAAGGTTCAATAACTGGCAATCTTGAGCTGAGACGGCAGCAGCAAGCTGCTCATTATAACCAACAACTCCTTCATTTTGCAAAGTAAAAAAAAAAAAAGAAGAAGTAGTTAGATAAAACTGAAGATGTCAAGATGAAGGGTGTTTGCTGGACTGATTACAATTAATGAAGTCTAAAGAGTGGCAAATTGAAGCACTTCCATGCCTTAGTTGCACCTGGCAAATAATTCCAGCACATTATGCTTCCTAAAGCATAATGGAGAGAGAATGCAGCAGTAGACAACCAGGTCAGACCGTGGGAACTCCAGAGAGACTGGGCACCCAAACTAGGATGGACTTCTAAGCATAGGTACCTCCCTGGAAGCTGTTTCTAATCTTCTCTGTGGCAGGCCAGAAAAGCATTCTATCCTCATTCAGAACTAACAAGGACTCCAAAGCAATGAGTTCCAATCACGTTGTCCAAAATGTGTTGACCGCTTGGGGAAAGCAGGCAAGTGCTCCAGCTGCCAGCCAGACCCCGGTAAACAAAGCTGACACAGAGTTCTTGCTCTTCCCAAAGATTCCTTGTGTCTCTCATCACACTTGGCCAAATAAAGTATTCAATTCATTGTTTTCAGCTTTTTTTTTTTTAATCATCTGCTGTGAAAGGTGGGCTTGCAAGTCAGCTGCTTCAGAATCCTTGTCCTGTTTTATGCTTTGTGGTGAGCCCAACGCCTTTCTCCCGAGGGGCAACTGGTTGGGAGGCTTGGCCATCGAGCAAACATTCCACGTCTACATTCGGCTGACCTGCTTCACTCTTGCATTTCATGAAGCTCCTGCCTCCCCGCAGGAAGGCTCCCTCGGCAGAGAATTGGCTTCTGGCTCCTCTCTGCTCCCCTTAGTCTGCACTGACTTCTCCTCTGCCTGAAACTCAGGCGTGGTGGAATTCTGCAACTCTTTAAAATCTCCATCAGATGCTGGAACCACGCAGGAGGTCTCTGGCAGACCAGAGACTTGAACCCAGGTCATCCAGCCTTAAGAAAGCCTTCAGAATTGCTAAATTCCTATTTAATACAGCCACTTAAGACTGTATGACTGTAACCTTGGTGGAGGTTGGTGGCGCAGCGGACTAAAGTGCTGTTAAGTAGCACTTAGCTGCCAGCTGCCTGCAATTATTGCGAGTTCAAATCTCACCAGGCTCAAGGTTGACTCAGCCTTCCATCCTTCTGAGGTAGGTAAAATGAGGACCTGGATTGTGGGGGCAATAAGATGACTTTGTATAAAATAGAACACCGCTTGGGGTGGGGCAAAAGCCCTACTAAGCAGGTATATACAAAAAAGGTATGAAGGCTCTTGCTTAACGCATTGTAAGCCGCCCTGCATCTTCAGAGAAGGGCAGCATATAAATCGAACCAATAAATAAAAAAATAAATCTTGTTGCTGGTATCCTTACGATTTATATTGATATTGTTTCCTGATTGCTTATTGGTAACCTGTGACTATCATTAAATGTTGTACCTTATGATTTTTGACGAATGTATCTTGTCTTTTTATGTACGCTGAGAGCATATGCACCAAAGACAAATTCCTTGTGTGTCCAATCACACTTGGCCAATAAAGAATTCTATTCTATTCTATTCTAAAAGCAACCCAAGTTTTCTTCTATTTTAACTTCACATAGAAAACCTGACTAAGCTAAGAAGCACAGTCGCAGAATTTATTTCTCAGGCACATCCCCAAACCAAAGCAAAGAGAGAGCCCTGCAAAATGGAAAAAGAGGCTCCCATCTGCAGCTGGAAAACAGGCCTGGCAGCTTACTCTTTGCAGTGCAAGACCACGAAAGTACCCTTTTAAAATGCAAGCCAAGTGTCAGAGCAAAGATTGGCAACCTAGAAAAGCAAGATAAGGCAGAGTGAAGCAGACACAACTTGTGCAGGAGTGACGTGATCCAGCAATTCTGCTGAGTTCAACTGGAAGGTTAAGGCCAAAAGTGTTCACATGGTTTGGAACATAGAGAAAGAAACAAACTTTCGCCCTCTTCTTTCTCCTTGGTTTGAGATGGGAGAGAATGATTGCAGGACTCTCTGGCGCTCTTTCCGATGAGCAAAATGCTGGCACTTTCTTACAACAAAGGACAGCTCTGCTGGGGGCGGGGTGTATGTGTGACAGAGAGAGAGGGAGAGGGAGAGAGAATAGGTTATCGCAGCGATCAGCCTAGTTTTCACGGCATGCTCTATGGACCAAGGGCAACCTTGAACAAGATGACATTTCCACCTCTCCCTTCCCCTCCTCCAGCCTGCCATCACTTGTGCTAAAAATGTCCATCTGAGCCATAACACACACACACACACACACACACACACACAGACAGAGAGAGAGAAGTCCATCCTTTTCAAGTAGAGCCAAGTCACAGAAATCTGTAATTCATTTATTTGTGGATGAAGTTTCAAAGTTCCAAAAAACTAGCTTTCTTCCCTGAGAAGGAAGGATTATTTGTTTGTTTGTTTGTTTATTATTTATTTAAAAATACTTCTGACTTGCCAATCAGGAACAAACCCTCCTAAAGGGCTTTAAGGAATACAATTAACGTTGATTTAACTTTCCGTGGTTAGATTTTTGCCTAGCTAGAGTTTATGCATTTCAAAAATACTTTGCTGTTGAAAAGTATGGGTTGATATAGGGTGGCTAATCAGGTACTGCAGTACAACAAATGGATAAATTTTCTTTGCTGTTTTATTTCATTTAAAGTGCAAGGAACAAGGCCATTTCCCTCTTGTGGTGATGAGGCATTCAAAGCAGGCAGCGTTTGCTTTGAAGAAACGGCCCCCCGGAGAACAGGAGGCGTTCAGAGGGGCATCCTACTAACTCAGGGACAACTCTGAAGTCATGCTAATCCTACGGCCACCACATAATCAAACACCAATCTAGAATATATAATAGAAATTGAGGAAGGTATCTTATTATTAATTTAAAAATATGGGGGAAATCGTCTTAATGTGATACTGACCTATCGCAAACCTAAACCTAATTGCACTGAGGATGCTCGTAATTATCTCTATGGTTTTAACCCTTGGCTACCTGGATCCTTGAATGAAGACACTTCAACCTAACCCAGCTTTTTTCTAGATCCTTCTGTCATTTGTCCTGCAAAGGCCATGCTGGACAGGCAGCGTGGGAGCTGCAGGGGGAACTGCAAAATAAACTCAAACTCTGTAACCATTTTTGGGACAATAAAACAATTCCTCCAAATGATCCAACAGTTGGCCACAATTTTGAAGATGCAAAAAAATAGTTACCAAATTCTGCAAAGAGTTTTTAATGCTTCCTGTTGATAATTATTTGAAGATTGAACAAACATCATGAATACTATAGTTGAGACCTGAAGACAACTGAGCCAAGAAAGCATTCATCTTTCTTTCTCTTCATATCTTATTTCTATGCGGAACTAAATACCACTTCCTTAGTGACTGAATGGCCTGAGTTGTCCCCTTTCTATATCAAAAATAGACATTAGTTCCATTGGACTTAATAAACA